CAAAATGCAAAGCAATGTTTATGTGTTTTTTGTTCTTATCTTTACTTTATAAATCTTGTTATAATATATCTGCATTTTTTTGGGGGGGAGGGAGATTTTCACTATAGGGCGCGTGTGCTCACCAGAGAGAGACATTAGAGACAGAAAGCGAGAAATCACCCCCCAGGGGGGATGGTCATGCCGCAATCCCTTCTCCATTCTCCTCTCGGGATCTTGGGCATGCATGCGCACGCGCCCGATGTGAGTTTTAAGCAACTGGGTCCAGGACGTGAACCGCGGTCGACTACGTTGGGAGTCTAGCGACATAGCCATTACGCTAACTGCTGGTTCCCTATATCTACATTTTTAAGAGAGATATTTGCTATGGGGCCTGTGCACTCGCCAGAGAGTCAGAGATCAACAGGAAGTGAGAAATCACCTCCCCGGGGAGGGGATGGCCACACCACAATCCCTTCTCCATTCTGTTGGGATTTGGGGCACACAGGAACACATGCCAAGTGTAAGTTTCCAGCCACCTGGTTCAGGACTCAAACCATGGGTTGACCACGTGGAAGTCCAGTGACGTAACAAAGCTGGGAATCTAGAAGCCCAGTCTCAGCCCCCAGGGGATAGGTGGCAATGTCCAGATGTTTATCTGTGCGTGTCAAGACCTAGGAGTAGGGGCGGGGTGCTTCTGTCATCCAGTCAGCAGAGGCCAAGGATGTAGCTACGTGTGCCTTTCAAGGCATAGGACTGCCCCCCCAACACACACACACACACACACACACACACACATACACACACACACACACTGACCTGGGCCTATATGTCCGTAGTGGTGAGGTTAAGAAACCACTTACTCCATATGAATATCACATCTGAAATGGAAATCATCTCACATGACTCAACAATCCATCCCCCAACTACTTGAGAAATACCGTGCTCCAGCTAGTGTGTCAGGTCTCCGTGAGGGCCGAGGATATTGTGGATTAGACCGCCGCGTCTCTGACAGGTAGAGTGGTGTTTCCAAACCGGCTCTATCACTCACCTGCTGGACAACTTTCAAGGAGTTGCTTGTGTCTTTGGGCTCCAGGTCTTCCTGTCTGCGAATTGGCCTGATCCGGTCCTTGGTTGGATAAAGATTGAATGCGGCGACGTGTGTCGCACCTGCGCGGCACTCGGCATCTCTTTGATGCTCGTTGCACTGTGGTTGTTGGTAGGAATCAGTTAGGTGTCATAGTATTGTGATGGCGTGCTAGGTGAGTCACGGGAGGGTCGTACCCGCTAAGAACATGGAGAAGAGCAAGACCAGGGCTGGAGGACGCGGGCAGAAAGGAGGGGGGATGCGGGCTGAGCCCAAAAGGGTAGACAGACAGGCGAGGAGGACTTGCAGGGGGGCCTTGTCTGCACAAGGGCAGAGGTGGGAGCCTCGGGACTGTTCAGGGTCACAGTCTGGGGAGCAGGGGGCAGTGAAAGATGGGAGTCCGATTCCATCTACACGCCAGCCATGTGTCAGAGTGAGCCCACGCGGGGGGAGACACTGGGGCCCAAAGCCATCAAGCGGGCTGCTGTGTTCATCCAGGTGGGAGCTGCCAGGCTAGGCCAGGGAGCTGCTACCAGGAGCTGGTGACAGTGAGAGCCAGGAGACGCTCCCAGGTAGAATGGACAGGGTCTGCTGCTGCTTGGATTCGGGGCCAGTCAGAAATGGAGTGGCAATTCTGGAGTGATGATGGCAGGAATCGTGCACAGGTAGGTTCTACGTAGGATCTTTTGTGGGGATGGGGACTGATGAGTGGGTTAAGTTACAATGACTTTAGAGAGGCTGTTGTGAGTGCCCCATGAACACTGAAGGTCAGAGGCCTCAAGGGTCTAAGGCAGGTCAAATGCTCTGGTATAGAATCTGGGGCAGCAGCTGCTGCCAAGTCTTCCCTCCCTCCTCCGGCGTCTCCTCACTTAACAACCTACCTGTTTAATGACCGCTCGGACTCAGGCCCAGTCCTCCAGCGTGGGGACTTTCTCAGTCTTCCTGATTTCTGCAGTCAGTGCTCACTCCACAAAGCCTTTGCCGTCGTGCAAGACCGTGTACGCCGTTCATAAATTTGTCCGTTATTACGCATCCGTAGTAATATTCAGAAGTAAAAATAACCATGCCAGAGTTACATTATTTTGTTGTGGTGTGTTGGTGCTTTTAGGCACTTATCTAACGTATGCTTTTTGTATGGGTAGGATTACTTTATTCTCGAGTGATATTGATAATATCTGTTGAAAAATGTTCTCTATGGCACCATGACCCTCCACAAGATGTCACCTTTAAGCTCCTCACTTATTGACAGTTTGCTTAATGGTCCAGCTGTAGGCATGGCACTCGGTCATTCAGCGAGGCGCCTGTCCCAGTAAGTGGGGCACTGGCTCTCTGTTGGATACACCGGGGCATCTTCTCCATTCACTGGGTTGGGCTTTAATCAGACGCTCTCACCGCGGGCTGTGACCCACATCTGACTGTTAGCCGTAAGAAGGTCTGTGGAACCTGAAGGGTCATTCAAACTCTGACAAGAATGGCAACCCTGGAGGCCAGACATTAGAAAGCAGCCTTGTTCCAAAAACCAGGAGGAATGCAGAGGTCACCTCACCCCAAGAGCCACCACAGGAGACTGGATGCAAGCCCAGCTGGTTCAAGACTCTAGCACGTAGGACCTTGGACATATTACTTGAACTTTTTGTGCCCGAGTCTCTTCACGTAATGGGGAGAATGTTAGCACCTCCCCCAGGGGTGGCCATGACGCTCGCTGTGTACGGCCCAGTCTGGCTCTCCATGTGCAGACAGGTCCTGGCATCATACTCAGAAAACATGGAGGCCTGTGGTGTGCCTGGTGCTTATTAAACAGAGAAGAAGCTCTGGCCTCAGTGAAGCCAATGGCTGGAGGACGAGCCCAGTGATGTGGAACCATGCACCACACCCTGCAGTGACCTGAGGAAACTCAAGAAAGACTTCCTGGGTCAAGCAACCCACGATGGGGTGAAAGCCCCCATGGTAGGGACTCACAGAATCAGCTCTTTTCAGTCCTTGAGCTTTGTCCACATGAATCACAGATATGATATAGGTGTTGCAAAAATGTCTGACCTTTGGGCTTGGGGGTTGAGCTGCATCTTCTAAGAGAACTTGAATTTCCAAAGAAAATAGGGTTCTATGGTCTAGTTGTTAAGGGAGCCAGATCCCACGTGACTATGACGTTCAAGTCCCAGGCCTGGTGGATTGAAAAGCATGCAGTTGGACATGTGTGTATGTGCCCAGAATCCCAGCAGGATTGAGAAACAGACCCACAGAACATTTCTGGACCTTGTTTTACATCACTGAGATCATGCTATGAACAAAATGACCTTTATTCACCACGTATCCAAAGAATGTTCCTGTGTTTTGACTGTTGTTGTACCCTTTTTGTTTGTTTGTTTTGAGAGGTTTTTGCTATGGGGCGCATGCGCTTGCTGGAAAGACAGAGAGAGACAGAGAGCAAGAAATCACTCCCGGGGTGGCGGGGAGAGGATGGCCGCGCTGCAATCCCTTCTCCTCCATTCTCCTCTTGGGATCTTGGGCATGCACGCACATGTGCCTGGCATGAGTTTAAGCCACCAGGTCCGGGACTTGAACCATGGTCAATGATGTAGGAGTCCATTGACGTAACCATTACGCCATCTGCTGGTCCCTTGTTGCACCCTGACCTAACTAGATGTTTGCACTATGTGGATGTACCCAGGCAGTGAAATACTTCTGCTTTTTCAACTCCATAAATGACAGAGTAGTAAATGTCTTCTTGGTCCATATCACTTTCATTCTATCAGTATTTTCTGAGCCGTGTCAATATGCTAAACAGGCTCTAGACCCTAAGGATGAGGCCATGAACTACAAAAAGCCTCCTTTCTGGTGGGGCCTGCATCCTGGTAGACAGGAAGTAGAATGATGTAAGAAAACGAGGGAAGGACTCAAACAGACTCAAATTCTTGGAAACCTTTCTGAAGAGATGACCAGAGCAAATCAAGTATTTCTGATTTTTCTGAGAGCAAATATTCCTAGGTTCCTGATTCCTCGAAGTAAAATTACTAGGTCAAGATGTATGAGGACATATAAGGCACTTTAGACAGTTTGCAGTTTGCCAACAGTTTTCTGGGACAGTGCTCATCTAACAACATCTTCTCCAGCATAACAGGTTATACTTAACCTTTTTTTAGTGCTTTGATAGCTGCCATTGTGTTATCTGTATATTTTGGATTAATCTAATGAGATCAAACTCTAATTTTTTAATAAGAATTTAAGCCATTTGTACTTCCTTTTCTGTGAATTGCCAGTTCTAGTCCTTTTGAACTGCTTTGTCAATAAATAAAGACAACAGTGGTGTGGCGGAAGCCAGGAAACTGAGAAAGACTTTGGACAGCTGAGCTATGAGGAAGTCCTGACTGAAGACGGGAGAGGCTATAGTTCTGACAAAGGGCCCTTGATCCAGGCGGCGCGGCACAGACGCCACTGCTCCTATGGCTCGGACACCTGCTCGATGCCAGACACTGCAGCCTTCATTCTGAGTACTGGAATTTCTGAGGTAGATGCAGTCACCTTGCATTTTGTGAGGTCTGGTACACACTGTGCACGCCCAAAATTACTCTCCTGGCTTTTTAGAAGGATGGACCACTCTGTCACCGGGGCAGTCCACCCATCCCCCTGGCTAAAGGAGAGAGTCAAGACAGAAGCCAGAGAAATCAAAAGAGGGTCAATGAATTATATCATTTGAAAAAGGAATGAAAACAAACAAAAAGCACTGCAAGAGGTCGATCTAGTGACAGCCTTGGCGGGTGGGGAGGGCTCCGGACGGTAAACTCTGGCCGTGAGAATCCATGCTGAGAAGGACTAACCAGGGCACTCTTCCCTTTTTGCTCTCAAGTGGAAGCTTCCAAATCCATGCTTCCCCTGCCCGTGGTGCCTGGGTGGCCTCCGTCAGTGGCTGCTCCTGCAAGCTCTCTCTCTCTGTCCACAGACCATGGCTCCTTGGCCTGAGTTGGAAAATGCCCAGCCCGACCCCAACAAGTACATCGAAGGGACCGGGGGTCAGCAGGCCACCACCCCTGCCAAAGGCGGGGAGACCGGCAAAAGTAAGTGTCACCCGCCGGCCGCAGGCTGGCCTCCCACTGGGCTCCGAGGAGACGCAGGGCTATTCCTCACGGCCTCTGCTGCTTGTTTGAACAGATGACACTGGGACCTCTGTCACCAAGATCGAACTCCTGCCCGCCTACTCCACTGTGGCACTGATAGAGGAGCCCGCCGAGGTGACCGACCCCTGGGACGTGCCAGCGCTTCGGGACACGGGCACCAAGTGGGCAGGTAATGCCGAGGCCAGCTGGGACAGGCATGTGGGGGGGGGCTCCCTGCTGCCCACAGGGTCACCTCTTTCATGTCACCCTCCCCCCTGCGTGGTTCTGACTCCTTGGCTAGGGATGGTTTCCACAGGTTTTGAGCTTTAGTGCCAAAACCCAGGCGGCGACTAGGGGACCGTTGGTTCTATAGTTCATCCCACGAGTGTGCCAGGCACTGGAGTCAGCCCAGACGGGCCCTTCCTGGCTCTTTGCGGAAGGCCCCGTGGAGGAAGCCGTAAAGCAGATAAAGCCCTGCTCCCAGGGAGCACCTGGACGTGGGTCTCAGGGAAAGCTTCTAGCAGACAGGAGGTCAGAGCAGCAGAGTGCAAGTGAAGGCCACGTTTCTGTCCCACGTGTGCTCTGGAGAGATGGAGAGGCTGGGTGGGAGGGGGCACTGCTTTGAGACAGAGTGGAGGAAACAGCAGTCCAGGCACAGCCTCCCAGATACTCGGGCCCAGTGCTCACCTTGAGGCTGAGATTGCCGTGCATCCTCATTCTAGAAAGCGCTCCGAAGAGCCATTATCACGGACCCACACTTAGCAGGTGGTCAGTACACTTAGCCGCCCCACTCGGGCACCGTGGTTCACAGCTCGGAGCCTGCTTTGCCTGTCCGTGCCCCGGACCAAATGCAGATCGTTTACAGATGCTTCGCCAGGGGTTTCAGCTAATGGACCGCAGTGGTAAAAAGTGTTTGAAAAAGGCGGCAATGGTCGCACCCCGTCTCCAAGGCTTGCTAGGCATAAGAGCTCACAGCCGCCCGGCTGGGAGCGGAGAGGGGGCGTTCAGGGCCTGTGGCTAAACTTCTCAGCGTTTCAGACACTAAAAGCCTTTTCTCTCTCCCATTCCCCCTGCAGAGAGAGACACCAAGGGGAAGATCCTCTGTGTCCTCCAAGGGATTGGGAAATTTATTTTACTCCTGGGATTTCTCTACCTGTTCGTGTGCTCCTTGGACGTCCTCAGCAGCGCCTTCCAGCTGGTCGGAGGTATGCACGAAAAGGGCAGAGTTCGGGTGGAGGATGTTGTGGGTCTGGGGTCGGGCAGCACCTCAGCAAGCCCTCTGCAGCTCAGCTTCCTGGAGCATTTCAGATTGGGCCCCAACCTAGGTCATCCTGTAAAGTCTATGCCCGCATTTTATAGAACAGAAAACGGAGCCCGCTAAAAAGGCCTTGAGTTGGCTCAGGCCAACAGCCCCTGTGTGGTCCCCAAACCCCAGGCGGGAAGCCGTGCGACATGAAGGCTTATTTGAGAGATCCTTGCTGTCCTTGAGCCCCCGGCGGGGACCAGGCTATGAGTGCTGTCCTAGGCCAGAGCGGCTGTGAAAGTCAAAGCTGGGCTCAACTGGGGAGGACCGGGGCCCACGCCACCCTTAGGTGCCACGTCTTTGTTTTCCAGGCAAGGTGGCCGGACAGTTCTTCAGCAACAACTCCATCATGTCCAACCCCGTGGCGGGGCTGGTGATCGGGGTGCTGGTGACCGTCATGGTGCAGAGCTCCAGCACCTCGTCGTCCATCATCGTCAGCATGGTGGCCTCCTCACGTGAGTCTGACACCCCAGAACCCACGCATTCCCGGCACTCCTTGGTCTACCAGGCAGCCTGGACTTACCCTCTGGATGCCCAGCCTTGGCCTCATCTTCTTCCCACTCGGTCCAGCTCTGTGTCCTGCTCTCGGTCCCAGGCAGCCTCTTCCCGTTTTGGAAGGTAGATCTGGAAATAGATCCTGATGCATGAGGATGCAAGCTTTGAATTCTCTAGAACCGAGCTGTCTAATTTAGCCACAGAAGCTAACCGATTTTACTTAACCTTAATCCATTTTTTTAAAAAAATTGTTTTAGGAAACCAGCATTTAGCGTAATGGCTATGTCGCTAGACTCCTACGTAGTCGACCACGATTCGCGTCCCGGACCCAGTGGCTTAGAACTCACGCTGGGCGCGTGTGCGTGCGTGCCCAAGATCCCGAGAGGAGAATGGAGGAGAAGGGATTGCGGTGTGACCATCCCCCCTGGGGGGTGATTTCTCGCTTTCTGTCTCTATGTCTCTCTCTGTCTGTCTGCGAGCGCACGCACCCTATAGCGAAAACCTTTCCAAAAAAAAGAAGAAAAAAGAATTGTTTTAAACGTTATTTATTTTAATTTGACCAGAGAGGGAGAGAGAGAATGAGAGTGAGAGTGAGAAAGCAAGCCGCCAGGTCCCACACTCGGACAGTGATCTGCCATGTGGGAATCCAACACCCTTAGCCACCATGCCACCTGCTGGCCCCAAACTTAAGTGATTTCAGTTTAAAATATACAATTCTTTTCCTCGGTTGTGGTCGCTACTTTTCAGATGCTCAGTAGCCCATGCGGGTGGTTACCAAATCAGACAGTGTAGACATGGATATTTCTACCATTGCAGAAGTTCTTTTGGGGCCAGTGGATGGTGTGCAGGTTAATGTGGCTGACTCACGCATGGCTAACTGCATGGTTCGAATCCTGTACTTGCTGGCTTAAATCACACCTGGTGTGTGTGTGTGTGTGTGTGTGTGTGTGTGCGCCCACAATCCAAGCAGAGAATGGAAAAGAAGGGATTGTGTGTCTCTGTCTTGGGGAGCACATGTACCTTACAGAATTTTTAAAAAATTAAAAAGAAAAAGAAAAAAATGAAAAAAAAAGTCTCCTGGACAGGGCCACTCTCACCACTAAGAACGGAGACATCTAATCCCTCACTGGCTTGGGGGCGACTGAGGAGACGCCATTCCTGACTTGGACCTCCCCGATAACCGCCCCAGCTGGGCTGGGACAGGCCTTCCAAGGAAGGCCAGCTCGAAACGATACATTTTCAGTCCAAACCAGTGTCTGAGCCAAAATTAGAATTTTTCTGGACCAAATTAGAAAAAAAAAAAAAAAAAAAAAACAGTCTTCAAAAGAATTTTATTTGCTTATGTCAGGAGATCGTGGGAATACAGTGACTTTGCTAAAAGAAAAGCTCACACTGCCTGGCGTTGGCCATTACTGTGCGGGTGTTTGATGTCGAGTGTGTGAGCGACGCCTCTTTAAGTAGGAGCCTTGGTGCAGGGTAGTGTTGACTCAGATGTGCACGCAGGCCCTCACAGTGCTCACCCGAGTCCTGAAACATCAGCTGACGCGACGAGTCCTCCAGGCTGGCCTTGGGCTTACAGTAGAGAGGAGGAGGGATTTAGAAGGCACTTTGCTTCTTTGTGTGTGCGACTTTTTCTTGCCAGAGAGCATGTGTGCTCGCCAGAGAGGGAAGGATGGAAGAAGGCACCCCCCTGACCCCTTGGGACGGCCATGCTGTAACCGCTTCTCTTCCATCTTTCCTGCCATTACGGATCTGGGGCACGCACACACAGGCGCCTGCATGGTTTTCAAGCTGCCAGGCCCAGGACTCCTACGTTTAGTCGTGTGGGATCCAGCGCCTTCACCAGCCAGGAAGCTAGGCCAGAAAGGCACTTGTAAACCAGTGCGGAGATGTACTTCAGAGGGTCCTGGACCCCCCTCCCCCCACCACCAAGTCTTGTGCAGGACCTATTTTATGGGGGGTGCGGGTACATGTGCCTGTTTCTATGGTGACCTCCCACAGTTCTCAGATTCACAGCAGTTTGCATGACCCCAGAGGTTAAAAGTGCTTTCAGGGATGGGTTCAGCTGCTGCCGGAAACCTGCTAATGGCTCTTTCCACCCCACAGTGCTGAGCGTGCGGGCTGCCATCCCCATCATCATGGGGGCCAACATTGGGACCTCGATCACCAACACCATCGTAGCTCTCATGCAGGCGGGGGACCGCAGTGAGTTCAGAAGGTAAGAGGTTCAGGACCAGCCTTGGCTCACACCAGGCCCACAGGGTTTGGCCATGCCATTAACTCCCCTTAAGCAGCCAGTGAGAACTTGCTCATCGGCCTCATCCCTGGCTCTCCCAGAAGTAGCCTCAGAGAGTGTAGACAGGGTTAGGATCCCCCATTAGCAGCTGATGGCCTCCCTGAGTGGTGGGGATGATAATAAAATCTCTCAGCACTCTATTGTCTTAAGGATTATATAAAAATCGGGCCGGAGAGTGCTTGCCAAGGGCCCGGCACACAGTCAGAGCTTGCTAGCCTTGGGGCTGTGTGGAGCTGAAACAAGGCCATTTTGGACAGGACTTACTTAGGCATAAATAATTAGAACATCCTAAACTGCCCAACCTGGGCCAGCTTAACTGTGCCACTTCTTCTTCGTCTTCTCTTCTATGTCAGTAAAAGGCAAAATGGCATTTTGGGGAAGGCAATAAAGTCTGAAAATAGAGCAGGCTGAATGTAGGCAAAGGGAACCCCATTGTTCCAAAAAAGGGGAATGTGAACATTAGGCACATTTCCCAGCGTCTCCTAACTGGAGAAGGGCTTTTCCCAGAACTTGTTAAGTACAGAAGCGGCCCCAGCTTGTCTGCTATCTCCACGCGGGCTGGGGGGCGGACAGTGAGTGTCGTCCCCCCTCCGTCCGTCTTGAATTGACAGTGGTGGGTCCCCTGAGCCGTCTCCTTTGGTTTGTGATGAAATGCTCTGTGGTCACAATAAGAAACACGCATTCCTCAGGGCGTTTTCTAACCTGAGATTCTCAGAGCTGACTAGGCTTTTCTGGATCCTCCTTTATTACCATCAGATCTCAAAGAAATTGCATAACTCACGGAGGGGTGTGGCTGGGATTCGATCCGGGTTTTCCATGTTTTGGGTTCTTTTCAGTGTTACGCTAATTTTTGCTTCACCGTAAGCTGTGAAGTATGAGGGGCTTCTTTCAAAAGGTCATGGAAGAGGCATATTTTGAAATATGCCTGGATTTCAAAATTGTGTGCATCAAAGTTAACTTGTATTTTATTTTTTAATTTTTTAAAATTATTTTTAATTTTATTTATTCATTTACTTATTTTATTTTGACCAGAGATTCACAGAGAGGGAGAGAAAGTGAGAAAGCAAGCCACCAGGTCTAGGACTTGAATCATGGTTGGCCATGTGGGAATGTCCAGCACCTTAACCACCACACCAACTGCTGGTCCCCATAAATATGTATTTTAATTCCATTTTTCTGTGAACTTTCTGAAGTCTCCCCATGAACATAAGACTTGTGAAAGTACCTGCATATAGGAATAAAATTGATCTAGCTCACCCCATTTGGGATATTTGAATATGATTTCATTCACATTCAATAACATCTTTGGGAATCTATATCCTTCTCTCCTGGTGGTTTGGATTATAACCTTAGATTCCTAGAACAGTGATCAAACAGCTATAATTCGGCCCTTAAAACGTCTTGCCAAACTTCTAAGAAATATTTGCGTGACTTTAGACTATAGCAGCAGAGCATGAAAGTGTTTGAAAGGAAATCTTTTTCATTTCAAACTGCACCAGAGTCTTGATCGGGAGACTCCAGGGGAAATCTGAGCCTTCTTGGATAAGTGCAAAGTATGATAGATATAGAGACCTCTTTCTCTGGCTAGAGGAGACTGGCCATGTTTTCCATCAGACCTCAAGAACTTTGGAAAGGTCACACGTGAACTTGCTGAGAGGGTTTTGTTGGGTGCCGTCACACTGGTCCCCTGCTTTCCAGAGGATGGTTCATGGTAGTCATGGTGCAGTTCTTCCACACGGTGGTTGCTGAGCCCTCCGTTTTCTTGGGATTATGAATGCCATCCCTCTGGGGATCGCTGTGAGAGACTACGAAGATGAGACTATATACAGATAGGTGACCACTGGGAGATGGCGGCAGATGATACAAGCAACGACCTGCCCTCACAGGTACCTGCTCGCTGACTAACCTGGCCATTGGGGCTCCCTTCCCATAGGGCTTTCGCCGGTGCCACCGTCCATGACTTCTTCAACTGGCTGTCTGTGTTGGTGCTCTTGCCTCTGGAGGCCATCACGCACTACCTGGAGATCCTCACCAACCTAGTGGTGGAGACTTTCCACTTCAAGAACGGAGAAGATGCCCCAGCCCTTCTGAAAGTCATCACAGACCCCTTCACAAAGCTCATTATCCAGGTAACTGAGACCCTTCCAAGAGGGAAAGGCCCTCACTGCCCACCCACTCCATCCTCCACGCCACTCAGACTCTGGCTGTCTCTGTGAAGGCCGAGGAAGGCAGAGAGTTAGGGACACTTGATAGTGTGAGTGGCCTTGAAGTCTGTGCCATCTCCCTTGGGAGTGGGGTACTTCAGCAGAGTAGACATTGGGCCCTCTCTGCCCCCACTTCTGCCCTCAGCGTTGACGAAGGGTTACCCTACTGCTGGCCAGACAGGGAGGGTGCTGCCCGTGCCTCCCAGGAGCCACCTCACCCCTCTGCTCCCTGGGGCCCATCCACATTGGTGACGTGAGTGAAGGTACTGTGGACGCCATCCTGGGAGAAAGGGCCAGCAGGGACCATGTGCACTCCCGCTTACCTTCAGGTTTTCTGTCATTCAGTCACCCAGCGACTATCTGTAGCCTGCTTCCTATCAGTAGACACCAGTGCCTTCATTCGTAAAATCATTCATTTGATGGGCCGGCAGGTGGTGTGGTGGTTAAGGCACTAGTCTCCCACATGGCTAACTGCGGTTCAAGCCCTGGATCTGGCACCTTGCTTTTGTTCTCTCTCTGGAGAACACACATGCCCTATAGCATGTTTTTAAAAATAAAAATGAAATGAAATCTTTTTGAAAGAATCATTCATTCATTTATCGGGAACCTGATAAGGTCAGGTGCTATGCTCCACCCTGGGAGTGCAGACAGAGCGAGGCCCAGTTCACCGCTTAAGGACTTGCTGTCGAGTTCATCTCCTCAGCCCTTCTAACAGCAATCCCTGCGACTCCATCCTGAATCCATCCTGGGGACGTGCTGATGGTCTTCTGTCTATTGCTTTCCTCAGCTGGATAAAAAAGTTATCAACCAAATCGCAATGAACGACCAAGCGGCCAAAAATAAGAGTCTGATCAAGACCTGGTGCAAGACTTTTACCAACGTGGTAAGTTTTTCAAGAATGTTGCCCGGCGGGTGAATCCTTGCGACTGAGTTTTAAGCAGAATCTTTCATTCAAGGTAGTCAAATACAAGACCTTGGAGACCCCACCTGGTGGTGCGGTTGGTATCAAAACGAATGGCCATGCTGGAAGCCGCGTGGCCGACCACAGCTTAGATCCCCGGTTGGCATATGTTTGCCCAAGACCCTGACAGGCTGGAGGGCTGGGGAAAGTGCAATGTAATGAGACCCCGTTCAGGGTGTCCCCTCTTCCCCCTTAGGTTCTCTATCATGAATAAAATAAATGAACTGTAAAAAGTAAGTCAGGAGTAAAAAAGTATGTTTAATTGACAAAAAAATGAGCAGCTATTTGCTGATGAGAATGCATATAGTCATGTCTTTGTCTTGAGTGCTATGCTGGAAAAAGTAATGTTAGACACCGTAAAGATCACTGAGTAAATGTAAATTAAAATAAAAATTAAAGTCAGTCAGGAGAAAGGGAAAACTGGGCTATTGAAAGATTGAAACTGGCCAGTGAGATTCTTTTAGGAAATAAGCCTTTGAAGGTTGGGTTGGCTTAGCAAGTAGGACACCAGACTCCCTTTTGGCCCATCCCACACCTGATCCATCACTCCTCATCTGTCATTGTTTTCACGTCTCTTGGGGAAGTTCCATCTCTCTCTAAATAATAGCTATCTAAACATAGAAATCCCTGCCTCTGGAGGGACTCATCACTTTGCATGATGCTGGCAGGTGGCATCTCTCACGCTTTCCAGACTTTTCCAGAACATTCTTTCTGGGAAACTGCAACATTCTCATTCTCCTTTATTGGGAAACTTACCCAGTCTAGTTTGCAGGAGGGTTGTGGCTTTTATTTGCTTCCAGGGTATATACATTTTTATTTTGGGAGGGTGCTCAAGGTTAAAGACAATAAGTATGAAACTAGATGTTTTTACATGGCAAAGGCTGATCTTACTTGTTTCCAGTTGATCCAAGAAAGATCCATAACAAGTCCTGCAGAGATGGAAGCATTATGAGTGTGGTGTCTCCCCCACTGCACCCCACCCTTCACCCTGCCGTGCCCCACCTAAAGTGAGTGCTGACGACATGTCTCGTGTTTGTCATCCAGACTCAGATGAATGTCACCGTCCCCTCGTCTGATAACTGCACCTCCCCTTCCCTCTGCTGGACGGATGGTGTTCAAACCTGGACCATCCAGAACGTGACCTACAAGGAGAACATAGCCAAATGTGAGTGTGCTCAGCAGACTGGCCACGGGCCTGGCTGGCTGGGGAGCCGGCGGAGTCTCTCCCTGTGTGAGTGAGGGACACAGGGCCATGAGACTCACGGAGCACCTGCCTACCTCGGGCATGGGGCACTGTACCTCCTCAGCAGAGACCAAAGCTTACAGACGAAGGGCTGGGTTCCAGGTCCCACAGCAGGGGGCGGAACTAGGTCTCAAACTCAAGATCCCAGAGTGCCCTTCCTTCTGCCTCAGTATCCCTTTGTCAAAAACAGCCAGATCTGAAGGACAATGTGGGCTCTCACAGAACAGGTACATTGATTCAGAGTCCCTTGTGTGATCCCATGAGCACTGGGGCCGTGAGCCTCCACGATGCTCTGGTTCTTCCAAGCAGCTGTAAGGATGCCCTGGACTCAGCCCGGATAGCCACGGTTCTTCTCGTTTCTCCTCATACCCTTTTGTGTATCTGCTTCTGCCGTCCACCCAGCATGAATTCAAAGCGGTATACCTTCATGCTCCAGGCGTGGTCACCCCAGGGAGTCAAGGAAATCCATCACCTCCCATGTCCCCGGTGCTGTCATCACTGGTATGACCATGGTTTGCTAGCATGGTCATGGGGCCACCCCGAGACATTGAGAGATGAGGGGTTTTCCACTCAGCGGCACCCCTTACTCTGACCTGCCCATCCTCCCCCTCCAACACTGTGTTAGCATCCCGAGTAAAGTGGCTATAGGACTCAGTGGAGAGAGGACTAGAAGCCTGGGCTTAGCACTGAAGGTGAAAGAGAGGACTAGAAGCCTGGGCTTAGCACTGACAAGGTGTGTAGGTTTAAGGATTTATTTTATCTTCCAACCTCATGAAATCCCTTGGCTTAAACAGAGTGTCAGGGCTACGTGCAGCTGCAGAGGAGGCTGGGAAGGCTGTCTCTGCTCCGGGCTGCCGTGTATCCAGCTAGCAGCCAAGATCCTGTTACAATGAGGGAGGAGGAGGTCGCGGCGTCCATGGCCATCCGAGATCCTGGCGGCTCCTGCCTTCCTAACGGTGCTTTCCGTGGTCTCTTCAGGCCAGCACATCTTCGTGAATTTCAACCTCCCGGATCTGGCTGTTGGGATCATCCTGCTGATAGTCTCCCTGCTGGTCCTCTGCGGCTGCCTGGTCATGATCGTCAAGCTCCTGGGCTCCGTGCTCAAGGGGCAGGTTGCCGTTGTCATCAAGAAGACCCTCAACACGGGTAGGTGCACTGGTCACCAGGGTGGACGGAGCGACCTTGGATGTTTGCCGGGTATGCAGGACCTGTCTGGCGCTGGTGGGGCAGGGGCTCTGTAGGGCTGTTCGAGCTGTTGCATTTTAGGTGGAATCAAGGTGGGAAGTGTCCGGTGATGGGAGACCACCAGGACAGGGAGTCCATGCCGTGGTCGAAGGGCTCCCAGGGCTTCGTGGGAGGAGGATGGTTATTCGGGTGGTCTGGCCTCCAGTGCCTGTTTTTGTCAGAGTAACTCACTCACATCCTTGTTTGACCACTCGAGCGTACAGATGAAAGCCGGTGGGGAATGAAACCAGATTCTGAACATCCAGTTTGCAATCTCAGGCCCCGCGGGTCACCACCTGCTGGGATCCTGTGGCGATGCCCCCTGGCTGCCAGCCCAGGCCTGCTGCAGAGGGGTGGCATAAGCTCCCTTTCCCTTTGCTTCCAGATTTCCCCTTTCCCTTTGCCTGGGTGACCGGCTACCTGGCCATCCTCGTGGGAGCGGGCATGACCTTCATTGTGCAGAGCAGCTCAGTGTTCACGTCTGCCATGACCCCGCTGATTGGTGAGTGCCCCAGCACCGCCCTCTGGTTGCCATTGCCCTGCCACTCCCAGGTCTCCCCTGGGGCTGACACCAGGGCCTGCGTCTCCCCAGGTATTGGTGTGATCAGCATCGAGAGGGCCTACCCGCTCACGCTGGGCTCCAACATCGGCACGACCACCACCGCAATCCTGGCAGCCTTAGCCAGTCCCGGCAATACCCTGAAGAGTTCCCTCCAGGTCAGAATGCACAGACGGGGCAAGGGCTCCGGGTGGGCTGCAGCCACATCGTGGTCTTACCTGGTGCTCAGCAAGCGTCAGGCCACACTCTACAGGGGACACGGGAGACACTGGGAAGCTCAACACAGACCAGTCCCAGCTATCCCCTCCCTAGAGGGATGGTCGGGTGCCCATCTTGGTTCCCACGAAGGGTCGAGGCAGGGAATGTGTTTGGGACTTACAGATATCACTGTCTATCCCTTGCCCATCTCTTGTAGAACCCTGCCCAGGCAGTAGCCACAGACATCACTTGGGTGGCATGGGTCTGGCATTACGGGAAGAATTAGGGGCCTGCATCAGCGAGGTTACTTTGAGCAAGACCTTTGGGAACACACTGGGTGATCTTTGACAAGTGATCTAACCCGAGCATCAATTCCCGCATCTGGAAAATGGAGAACAGAGCCCCTACCTCACTGGGATTGTCATACAGATCCAACGAGGCACTGTCCGAGGCTGTTCTGCCCATTGGCAATACAGACGTGAGCAGGTCATCTAGATTAGTCACAGAGGTCGCTCCATGTTTTTTAGTGCCCACATGTTTAAGTGAAACACAGGGAGACTCACATTCTTTTTCAAGCTAAGTCTTTGAAACTCGTGTGTATTTTATATTTTGAGCACATCTTAGTGTGGACTGGCCACACCTCACAGGCTCAGTAGCTACACGTGGCTAGTGGGTGATGTCCCGGCCACTACGCCGCTACTGGCAGGGCTGGTCGGAAGGCCTTACCATAGTACCAGGTACCACACATGGGACAGTGGCCAAACCGCCTGGATCGGAATCCCCTCATTCCCATCCCCCAGCTGTGCCACTGGGAGCCAGCTCACCCTCATGGTGTCAAGTAATACGGTTGCCACTTCACAGGGTGGTATTTTTTCTTCCAAGTTTTATATTCCATGAGAAAAAGAGACTGAGGGAGAAAAGGTGCCCCCTGCTAGTCTTCACACCATGACCTGCCCTTCCCCGACTTTGGCCAGCCAGGGTGCTGGGCATGTGCATGTACCCAGATGCACAGGGGAACCTGGGGGCTTGAACCCAGGACCTCCCCATATGGCCTCAGCGGGGCGTGTTTTGAGAACTGAGGCCTATACGAAGCATAGTTACTTTATTTAGTAAGGGTAACCATCACTCCCTTCTCTCCGCAGACTGGGCCATTGAGCCAAGAAAGCCAGCCATCTTTTATACCTCTCTCTTTCTGCCTAGTATTTTTACTTTGTTAAAGAGCACATGTGTTCACTAGAGAGAGAGAGGAGGAGGAAATGAGAAGGCAAGCTGCCAGGCCTGGGCCTCTAACCGCAGTCAGCAGGTGGGGGTTCCAGCGCCCCAACCACCGCGCCACCTGCTGGCCCGCCTCACAAGGTCTGAAATGCTCAGTTGGAAGCCGCAGGACCAAGGAGCAGGGTAGCAGTGGCCAGATTACTGTTAGATTGTGCCAACAAGGCAGGGCCCTGTGACAGCTGGGGCCACCTCCCTGGCCCTCCCTGCCCGGCCCCCAGAGCGTGGTAGAGGCTCTGGACTCCACAGCAAAGACCAGGAAGGCCCCCCACTCTGCTACGATCACCTGCTAACTGGCCCCACCCCACCAGGAGCACCCCTCACCTGTCGCCTTCTCTTGCAGATCGCGCTGTGTCACTTTTTCTTCAACATCTCCGGCATCCTGCTGTGGTACCCGATCCCGTTCACGCGCCTGCCCATCCGCCTGGCCAAGGGGCTGGGCAACATCTCCGCCAAGTACCGCTGGTTCGCCGTGTTCTACCTGATCTTCTTCTTCTTCCTGACGCCGCTGGCGGTGTTCGGCCTCTCGCTGGCGGGCTGGCCAGTGCTGGTGGGCGTGGGCGTGCCCATCCTCTTCGTGCTGCTGCTGGTGGTGAGCATCCGCCTGCTGCAGGCCCGCTGCCCGCGCGTCCTGCCCGGCGTGCTCCGGAACTGGAACTTCCTGCCGCTGTGCATGCACTCGCTCAAGCCCTGGGACAACCTCATCTCGCTGCTCACCGGCTGG